TTTTCAATGGATCAGATTAAATGTGACGAATGTCAAATGCGCGTATGTACGTAGCGGTAAGGACCGGCGCGCATTCCTCAGGCTGGCGTTATCTGGTACCTTATCTTTGACAACTTCACGTATTGTATTGTTTAAAATATTATAAAGTTGACAAAATAAATATTGTTTTCATCCTTTACGTAACGATAAAAAATTCAATAAAAAGAAACTGTCTGATTTCGTAGCATTATCTGGAAATAAAAATAAATGTAAATAATATGATGTATTAATTGAGCATTTTATTATTTTAATTACTGCGCAATTGCATATGACAATCAAAAAGAAATACGATTATTACAAAATATTTAAAATATTTTTGAAATATTTTTATTAGATCATAATTATCAAAATTATTTATAAATCATAATTATCAAAATGATTTATTTTGATAAATATAATTTTTCATATTTTTCTTATTTAAATAATTTTAATCTTTTATAATTTTTTTAACTTCTTTGATACAAGAAATAATTTTACACATTTACTAAATATGAGAAAAATGTTTCAAGATATCGATACAAAGATTATTGAAATTTTAAGAGATTGTGTAATTATTGTAATATTATAAAGCTAAATTTTTTGTATAAATCTTTTGTTAATTTTTTTTGAGAAAAAATGAGGAGAGAACCGAACCTCCCTCAAAATATCTTAAATTATAATTTTAAATATTTTATCTTTAAACACTATGATGAAGAAACCAATTTTTTTAACTCTTCGTGATTACGTACTCACGTAATTAACAAATATTCGTTAAATTCAATATTTTTTTATTGTCATATGCAATTGCGCAGTAATTATAATAATAGAATGCTTAGTTTATACATCATATCATTTAAATTTATTTTTATTTCCAGATAATGTCACGAAATCAGATAATTTTTTTATTGAATTATTACGTACAGGATGAAAACAATTTATTTTGTTAACATGTATTATATTTTAAACAATACAGTACGAGAAGTCGTCAAAGATTAAGTCCCAGGCCGCGCCAGCCTGAGGAACGCGTGCCGGCCCTGACCGCTATGCACATACGCGCGCTCATTCGTCACTTTTAATTTTTTACTGTAAAAATTACTCGTCGCACGCAATTTTGCTAAAGGAAAAAGTTGTTTCTTTTAGTATAAAGAATCACGTAGTGTACTCCAAATGCGGGAGTTTTGGAACATCCTGTATATATATATATATATATATATATATACAGGATGTTCCAAAATTCGCGACTTAAAATACTATAGCAGGTAAGTTTATGAAAAATTAAGTCAAAAGTTTATTTGCATATTTTTCAAACAATTTCAAACAATAGTTTTTGAAGTATAAAGGTTAGCTGGCCAATCACTTATTACTTTTAGACGCTTATCCATGAGTCGCGCGTGAAGTAGAATTAATGAGAGTGCATACTTCAGACCTTGTACGCACTTTTTTGATACTTTAATATTTTTTTATACCTTGCATCTCGTCTCATAATTTTGATCGCAAATTAATGATGTCAATAAAAAATATTATGAAAACTTAAATCCAAATTATAGCCAGTAGATTATAAAGAAATATTCAGATTACTACAATTCATATTAATGCAATAGTATGAATATTAAGAAATATAAATAAGATTTAACTAGTTGCCGTAATTGTATACGCGCGCAATAGTTTTTTATAAGAACTAATTAATTATAATTTTTTCGAATTTATTTATTCATTCTTTTTAACAAATAAGAAAAGAAACGATTAATTAAAATAACAATTAATGATTAATTTTAAAAAATAAAACTCGTTAATTAATGTAACATTGAAAAGTTTTTATTTATGCAATAGTTACAATAAATGTTCAAAATTTCTGCCAGCTTCAAGCTGTAGCTCTTGTAATA